CACCACCAAAGCAGGTACCCAAAAAGACAAAGCCTAGAGCATTCCTAGGAAAATGCCAGAAAAGCCTTTGAAAATCTCATAAACCAACAGAAAACGTGACAAAATCTACGAAAAAGCAAGGGCATTGGCCGGGACCATGCCGCGACCAGCCCGGGATTCGAGCCCAGGACCATTTTGGACCGTGCTTATTTTCCCGCGCGGGTCGAGAGGGTGCCCCAAGATGTAAATCAATTGGGATGGCAGATTCTTGGACAATCCAGGTCGCTTTCCCGGCAGGATGAGGGGTAGGGGAGGTAAGGTCTAGGTCTAAGGCTAAGGACTAGGTCTAAGGTCTAAGGCTAAGGCTAAGGCCTAAGGCTAAGGCTAACATCGACAGTCACGCCTCACCCCACGGTGTGGGGTCGGCGGATAACGGCTACTTTTAACAGCACTGATCCACCGCCTATCACCTTGTTGGTCAGTCTTTGACCCCTGAGGATATCCTCAGATGAAGGCCATGTTCTTTGGCAACACCAAGCTGAGCGACCATCCCTTGTCCAAGGGCTTCTTGGCAACGCGAAGATACGTGAAGAGATGAAGCGACGCGAAGTGATGAGGCGGTGATAGCCATTGTATCTCCCAAACGCTCCAGGGTAAGCAAATATGGCCTACATTCATCACTCCAAGCTACCGAATGTAGGCCATATTTGCATACAGGGAGTGGTTGGGTCTTATCTCAACACTGAGCTGACAGACTAATAGTGATATGGTCAACCCAGCAGTTCCTCTTGCGGCCTCAGTTCTGGTGCCAAACATGATTTTGCTTAGGGCTTATAAGGGCCCATTTGTTATTGGCTTTTCCCGGTTCCTGGACCGCAATCCCAGGCCTTCCCAGCTTCTTCATTCGTGACCTTTTTGGAGTCTCTAAGTGACCTTTTCCAGGCCTAAGTGACCTCAAACCAGGGGATCAAAAGGTCACTTTGAAGAACCAGGTCAGTGTCTTTTTTTTGTGCTGGGACTTGTTTGGAGATTTCGCCTGCTGCCCAGACGAATCATGCTGGTCCTCAGGCTGCGCTCCGACCTCGTGGGGAGATTGAAACGCACTCCCTCACCACCTGCACGGGTCCAAATACTATGCGATGATGCAGGTGGCGCTGTACCCAAAGAGTTTGGGTTTCAGAAAAAGGCCTTAGAATGCCTTAGGTTTTGTCATTATATATGTTGTTACACATTGGACAACTCACTCCAGATGAATGCATAATGCTTTGGTTCTCATGAAGGTCGCGAGGGCAGCCAAACCCGATTCCAAAGAGCGCTCTTGATTCGTCCCGTATGGTCGGATGAAGCGATTCCGCTGGTCTTCTGGTCCGACTCCTTGCACTACTTACTCTCTCACCGGCACAAGGCCAAGAGAACGTGGAGTTCCTCTCCTCGGAGACATTGGCACTGAAAGCCATCGGCCTTTCACTGGTGGTGGCCGTCCCTGAGCCGAGAACTAGCGTACCCTAAGGGGTGTTACATGGTGTTCCCTTAGATGTCCTTAGATGTCCTTAGAGGCCTTTGATGCACGGTAGAGGCCTCTAGAAACCCAGCCATCCATAGATGCATCCCTGATTCCTGAAAGATCCTGACAAAAGCTGGGAATTCTGAACCCAAGAACGTGATGTTCATGTTTGTTTATTCCAAGATGTTTCTGGTGGCATCCCTGAAGGGAGTGAGCTGCAGGCCTGTTTAGCCCTGCTCTTCGCCATCTTTATCTGTCCGCGCATTGTACCTCTGAGGCTCAAGTGCCCATTGGCCAGGAAGGCAGCTTGAAGAAGTTTAGAGAAGACCACGGAGGAGGGAGCTGGTCCATCCGCAGCGTAGTCCATGCGCGGAGTCCAACGCCCCAAGTCCTCCAGCAGGATCCGTCGGTCCATCCGCGGTAGGATCAGATTTTGTGGCTCCGCAGTTCGATCAGATAGGGAAACAGCCGATCGAGTGAATCGAAACAGTCCACGTCGACTTTGGCCGATCCAAGCCTTGACTCCCTTTGCGACCGGATTTGCGACCAGGTCGGGCGAGCGGATTTGCAGCGCTTGGTTTTGGCATTTTGTTGGGTGGATGTTCCCTGAAATTTCGATCAATTCTCAGAGGATTGCGTAACTCATTTGAACATGCAACGAGTCTTGGATGGAGGGCGAAAAACAGTTGCTGCATATAGTTGCATAAGTATTGCGTGGCATGTGTACAAAAAAGAACAACAACAGAGTATTCTGCATTGTTTTGAGCCATTGCTGGCACCTTCCCAACCTTTCAGCCTTGCTGTTGTGCGTGACCTTGCAGAATTCTGAGGTCCTAATGTCCATATGGCCGCCTGCATCTCACGACTGGTGCGGCCAAAGTTCTTTGAGAGGAATCTGAACCTTGTCAGAGAAGCTGCGGGTAGATAGAAGCCTACAGGGATCCACAATGATCCACATATTGTTTGAGGTTCAGCAGTTGAACTTGTAAATTGGGTGTGAAACAGGAAGGTCCAGATATATAGCTACCTTCTCAGGAGGTGGCATTTCATTGTGCGGAAGATATGGGGACGATGGGACGATACAAAGATTACAGGATTATGATGGCAATATCTCTATCTCTATAAGTCAAGAACTCTGTAGCACATCCTGCTCCCTGTGATGTGAGCATGGGTGTCGATCTTCTCCTGATTCATGTGGGTCCTTCAATTAAGCTAACTGGAACAGAATTGTTCCCAGCACATGATCAGCTTCCTGGAAGTTGATCAAATGCTCCTCAAAAGAACCGATGTCAAGCTTTGCTCGCTCAAGTCCCCCCCAAAAAAACAGGTTACAAAACACACGTCTTCACAAATCTGATGAATGTTGGGCATGAGCCAAGTGTCCCCATTCAGCACACCCAGAGTTCTATGAGGAACTGTGAGTTGGTCGTCCAAATCCTACACGCCGCCTGTGCTGCGGGCGTAGCCGCCACCTTCTCTTCCCTGCTGGGCGGTGTGCTGTTGTCCTTGGATTCTTGGCGAATTGAAGGAGGAATGATGAAATTCTACAATGGGACCATGGGTTCTACATAAGCATTTGGCACCTTGCAGTATTTGTGTGTTTCTTGTTTCTACCATCATCGCATCACCTCTCGCACCCGTCGCACTCTCGCACTTCGACCTCTTCAGCGTCGACCCGTCGGCCCCACCATCCTTTCGGGGGAGTCCAGGAGGACGAGTCGTGAGGACGAAGCGAAGCGAAATCGAAATGACAGACATGACATTGACCAGAAATTGGGTTAAGGAAGCAACTTCAATGGACTGCGAATTGCAAGAACATAAAGAACCTTGACATATAATATATATATATAACTATATATGTAATTATAGTGGATTGGTGTCAACAGAAATGGCAGACCATTTCTTTTGAGGCATACAATATACCGACTTGGGTCTTTGCATGAGACTGCCGCTGGAGTACCTTTGCCATAGTGAGCCAGCGTTATGTTACTTCACTCATGTGCACATTGGTAGTTTATGTAGTTATAGACTTGTTGACCCAGTGACAGTGAGAGTTGAGTCTTCCTGTGCAACCTCCAACTTCATTCAAGAGTTTGCAGCTTGATAGCCCAACTGGTGGGAATCATCAACTCCAACTTCACTGACAGTGGAACTCTCAACTTCGCAGCCCAGCTGGTGTCAATGGTGATCAATCTCCAACCTTACTCAGGAGTTGATGCTCCCGCAGATCTATACCTTCCAAGTCTACTGGGGCTGTTTCCTGGGCGCCATTTGCGGTGCAGTCACGGTGATTCTGCCGCTGGGGCCGTCATCGTGGCCTTATCCACACAGCTGGGGAATTGCAGGGTTGGACACGTCGCCAAAGAGGTTGCGTCAAGTGAATGTCATTTTCGGGCTGCTTGTCCAAGAGTGGCAGGTATGCCTGCCAGATCTTTCAAGCAAAAACGAAGGTGAAGACCAAGCCCATGGCCTACAGTCATCCCCAAACTACCAACTGTAGGCCATATTTATGCCATATGTAGGCCTACATCATGGAGTGTTTGGGACTGTTTGTTTCGTCGGACGAAACGTGTCGAACCCACCACTTTTGGGACCCACCTGGGGAGAGTCGCTCTCGTCGGTCCCACGGCCCACGGTAAAGACGAAAAAGGAGACAGACGAAACCGCTTCTGAGGTGAAAACCACAGAGTCCTGGATTCAATTCGGGCACGCGGTGAAATGCTAAGGATTCATGATGGCTTCCAATCTTCTCACTTGCTCTCTACCAACGTTCTGCCCTTGGAAGGCCGGGGAAAAAGAACAGCGCGGAGGACTTGTTCAGTTCAGGGCAAAAACATGTTCCCGCACCAGAAAGATTGGGGCACTGATGTAACAGAGGCTCCAAAGTGATTGACAGTTTGTCTCACCTTCTTTGCCTTTCTAGAAGGTGTTTTTTTAAATTTCTGCCAAGTGTTCAACAGTGACTGGTCAAAGTAAGTTGATTCATGAGATTTTGCGATGGCTCCAAAGCTCCTTCAGGTATCAAGATCTTTCGATACCAACTAGATCTGGTCGTTTGCAGATGCTCCTCTTGGAGGAATCCGGTTTCCATGCTGTCCATGCTGTTTGGGTGTCCTCTCCGGAGATCCCTGTTTTTAGTGTAGGATGGTCCAGACAGGGTGGTCCAGGTAAGAATCTCTGTGCTTTGTGATTCCGTGGTGTAATTGGATTGTGCACGACACGGCCGCCACGACTGGCTACTCGACTGAACCTGGAGTTCTCGAGTTCTGGGAGCATTGAAGCTTTTGGTTGGATAGGCCCGCTTGAAATGATATGTATATATATATATTATATATATAATATGTTCCTTAATTAAGGTTTGTACCATTACCTCTAACAGTCAGTAAACAAGGACATCGCTACTTTTAGTGAACGGCCTTTAATATTGCCGTCATCATCCACTGTTACGGTACGTAGTCACTGACCGTTCGTCTCGAGGCGACAACCGCCTCACTAAGATGCAAAGCGGAAAAAAACCACTGTTACTGGTAATGGGATAGACCCAATATATACTTTTGTTCATGATTCGATGATTAGATTTCTGGCAAGAACACGGGTGTCCTTCCCACAGGAGCCGGGTGGGTATTTGTGTGTGTAAGTGCATGTGTGTTTATTCCCAAACAAAAACATGTAGTCACCCTATACACTCCATATTTGGGATTGCTTCTGTTTCACTCACTGCAGAGGTGTGCCTGTGCACTATCCATTGGCCTGCTGCTTGGGTTACATGGCCATTGGAAGCCTGGCTTGTGGGTGTGGTTCATGCGGGAGTTCTCGGCAGTTCCAGCAAACCCATTTGTCCAACTTAGGTGGACAGGGTGGCAGAGAAGGTGCTTGCTTCTTTCTCCCATTGCAAACAACAAAACTAAGAGGAGCTTGAGGTTCTACCTATCCTCTAGTTACTAGTTTCTACATCCTGGCAAGTACATGGAGCTCATCTCCTCTGTGGTTTCTGGGTCAAAACACTCTATCACTGCCAACACAGTGTTCCTCCGTTCACGACCCCCGGAACCCACTGCCGCCTCTCCGAGCACCCTAGACCGCTAGACCGTGCAAGCTGAGGCGTGGTCTTCGGGCTTTTGGGAGGGCTCTTCAACCTGGCGCACGACCAGACGATCCGCAGCTGCGGACGTCTTTGGAGGAAACACGCGTATCGGTGCAAAAAAAAACAATGCTTCGACGGACGTGGATGTGGATGCCCAAACCATGGTGGGCTCGAGGTTCGGAAGCGAAAGAGATACAAGATGATTCTCAAAGTAGTGGTGGATCCTTTTTACGGTAGTGTGACCAGTACGGTAGTTTATGGTAAGCTGAGGTGGCTGAATGAGAATGTGTTTTTAAGCAGATTTTCTGATTTTCTAGTCAAGGAACTCGCAGAACACCCACCATCGCTTTTATCATTGTCCCTCTTTCTGATTCAAGGTAGCATCCCATGACAGTACCATGGCCAGACAGACCCTCCTGCCTTTGATCAACAAGTCGAAACAGACTGGACAAGGTCTTTCAGTCTCCAGATGTCTTGAGAAAGGCCCGCATTGCTCAAGTGGGTTGGTTCCACTTCCATGTTTTCTGCTTGGGAGTATCCAGAGGCATTTGCAAAAGACATTCAGATCTTCCGACCTACTTCGGTGAGGGGGAATGCTTTTGTTCGCGGACTCGACAGAGGGGTGATTGGCTAGGACCTAGCTGCTGCCATGTTGCTACATGTGCTTCAGCTCCTGTCATGTTAATTCCAAGACCATCCCAAACCTATGAAGTAGATTCCCCCAAACCTATCAAGCAACATCCAATCAAAAAGAGTACATTTTTGCCACCATTTGTACAGTTGTCTGCTGTCAGGAGCAGCAAAGACCGATGGCAATGGCGGGATTTGCTTTTTGTAGCTGTGGTGGGGGCGCTGAATGCGGCTTGCTTTGAGCTTTTGTCAGATCTGTTGAAGGCTCTTCCAGGCAGAAAAACGAACCACCAAAACATCTCAAACAGCTAATGCCAACACCGGATTAACAAACGGGGACCCTCCCTTCAAGGTCTGAGATTGGAGGTGTTGGGAGACCACATCCCCCTAATAAAGGTGATGACCTGATGGATGATGAGATGAGGACCTGGACCTGATGGTGGACGATGGTTTGATTGGGAAGATTTGGATGAGAAGGAAACTGAATGGGGAAACCACGGGATTGGGACACCATTTGGTGATACTCTCTTTGATTGGGAAGATTTGGAAGAGGATTGCAGGATGAAAGCATTGGAAGACAAGAATGAGGCCAGAGGGTAGGATTGATCAATAGGGGGAGGGGGTGCTACTATTGGGGGGGGTAGGGCCTGTGTGAGGGGTACCCTTTGTGAGCTGGAAAAGGTCAAGATTTGGATAGAGTTTTAAACGGGCAAAACGACATAATTTTTCTAGATATTTTGGGGGGATTGTTGGTAGCATGAGCCCTTAGGAGAAGCCATCAAAAGGATTGGTGAGAATCCATCAAAAGGATTGGTGAGAATCAGGAAGATGAGGAGATGAAGACACCGGCCTCTAAGAAATGAAGACTATGAGGAGTTCATGAAGAAGGTAACGAATAGGAATATTAGTTGGACAAGAAGGTACATAAGCATATGCAAAGGAACACGAAGAAAGTACATAATAAAAAACTATACAATAATAGTACTATACTGTTCGTTTTCTGGGGCAGCTGGGTTTGATTGATAGGGGAAGGTTTCTGCCCAGAAACATACTAGTAAGATGTCGAGGTGGAAGTCCTTGTGTTAAATTAGTTTAGTATGGGGGGGGGGTCGAGCTGGGATTGATTAATAGGGGGTGGTTACTTTCTGTGCGCGCATTATTGGGTTATCCTTTTCATCTCGGCCATAGCCCTTTTGCTGTGAACCACATGAGCTTAAATGACTCTTGTTGTTTTTCTCATGAGATTGACCCACAGCTATAATATTAATTGTTTCAGACACTTTCATACTAGCTGATGTGACTATTTTTCCAATTGATGTAGCTTAATCCCTGTGCAAGTAGTAGTAGTAGTTCTGAAAAGTTGCGACGTGTTGCAGTCGCTTTCCGGAGAAGTTTCTTTGACACGAGACAGTTGATGCACTGCCTAGGTGGTCTTGCTTTGGAAGATCCCCTTGCTGAAGGGAAGATCCATGGCTGGGAACACAACTACAGGGTCTAGACTAGGAAGATTGTACAGTGTTACAGTGTACTATACAACATTGTCCAGTGTATACAGTCACTAATGAAGATTCTTGATTCCAACAACGTGCAGTGTGCGGAGGTTTACAATCCAAATCGGGTGGTTTTTGTTGATCAAGAGTCTATACATTACACAAGATCATTGCACATGATGCCAGAACGTTTCGCTTCCATTTGGGTCTTGCTTTAGCCATGCGAAAGGAGCGGCTAAGTGATTGAACATGTTTGAGCAAAGAACGACCTCGCCAGGCATGCCTCGATTGAGAAATGTGATGAGGGGGTTTCCCTTCCGTCATGTCAAGGTCTGTGAGTGCTACGAAAATATATAAGGTTCTACATCCATCTAATGATACAGGACCATTGAGGCACGAACCCATGAAATCGCAAAACCTGTTTTATGGTCCAAAGGTTGGGCACTGTACGGGCCTACCTTTTGAAGCACATCTGAAGGAGTTGGTGGGAAATCATCCGAATCAGAATGAATTCCCTGCGCTTCATCAGCCACCCAAGGCTTCACCTTCGCCGATCGAAGAAGATCTCATGTTGAAGACCCTCCGTTCACCCACCTGGAAACCCGGAGCGGAGCACACCACTTCAGAAATGGACATGCCTTTGACCCAGCCTGAGGGGAAGGATGTCGACCCTGGGTCGACTTACTCTCCAAGTCAATGGAAGTGGATGGCGCCCCTACAGTGGGCCATCAGAGGTTCCACGGTACTGGCGTCCCTACATGTCTTAGACGGATGGGGGTCCATATAAACCACCTAGCTTGGAGATTGCCATCGAGCCTCAGAAACAACTGTAGAGGTTTTTGCACAGATTTCGGATTGGGCATTGGATCCACCCCCATGTCCTGCAGCTCGGCTGGACCCGGCAACTGCACGTTCCTGCACTTCACACGGCAGATGTCTACTGAGGGTCGCAGCCTGAACTGCTGAACAGCCTTTTCAGCAAGGAATTCTTCAGCGGTTTCTTGCCTCAGACAGATGCGCCGTCCTTGGGATTTTTCCACGCGGCGTCCTTGCAACACCAGGGTTCCTCCAGTGCCGTCCTCGCTTTGAGCCCTGGAATATCTTTACTCATGGTACTAGTGTTTCTCAATGGTTTGGGGATGCTTGACATGCTTTTGGGTGCTCAAAGTAGACTCTTTCAGGATACTGTTGGATTTGTAGAGTTTCCGAGTAAGGCTACAGACTGAATCGGATGAAAGGCCGCGGCTGAGGGTTGGATGAGACATTTGGACACTGTCGTTTGCTGTTTGCCTGTTTTGACCACGAACAGTCCCGTCTCCTTCACAGGTCCGAGGAGAAAGGAGTCCGAACCTGGACGGCCATGTCACCCTCTGAGTAAACCATGAAAAACACCACGAGTTGGTGCTCCGGAGGAGACCACTGAAAAACCAGGGCCATCATTTCTTTCACGTTGCGTTGGATGGTGGTGGTTCCCACCATCCAAGCGTTGGTGAAACCGGGCCATCTTCTTTTCAGGCCACGAAGTGAAGAGCGCTGATGTTCAGATGCTCATGGTGGCACTTGTGGCCACCTCGGTCGCATCAAAGCGACCACCGACCCGGTTCGGTTCGGTCCTTCCCAGGCCGGTCTTCCAGGAGAACCTGTTTGGGGGCCGTTGGTTGTCCGAATGAAACAAGAACTAGGTGGAAAGTGCCAATTCACCTTGATGTTCCAAACATATTCCAGAGTCAGCTACATATGGACTTTGTAGGGGAGCGGTTTGTTTCGCAGCCTGGGAGCTGCTGTTTGAGGGTTGGATGAATCCAACCCCAACTTCTCAGAAGGGGGATCCTCTTACAAGCAAGGGGTGCCCATTTGAACATGTTTGAATATTGGGCTGGCGGTGAAACAGATTGAGTCCTCTAGAAGTGTTTGGGGGAGCCAAGAGGTTGGATTCCACAGGTTGTGGTGTTGGACGGCGATGACACGCGGCTGGGGGCTTTAAGATGCTTTATGGAGCGACCTTCTTTTCCCGTTTGGGCTGCCCCATGTCCTCGGTAGGGACGGAGTCCCTGGCCCAGCACACCCTAGCAAGGACCCTGAATAACCCCAAAAAGGACCCTAAAGGAATCTGAAGAACCTGAATACCCTAAGAAGGACCCTGAATAACCTGGGACCCTCTTCTTTCACGACGCGTTTCCTCCTTAAATCCGAACTCGGGCCTCCCTCACCGCTGAGTTCGGCACCGAGGCTAAGGTGGTCACCAGCCTGCTGGTGGCTTGGCAATCAGATGGTGTGTCGGGCTTGTACACCTGGAATATCCTGGAATATCAAAAAATTTACACAACCATCCAGAAGTAGATAGGTCTGTGTGTTTTTCTATTGTTTGATTTCCCCATCTACTCCCGGATGACTATATTGAAGGCCCCCTCAAAAAGCCTAGAGGTACCCGAGTCATAGCAAAGCCCTCCAAAATGAATAGCTGCATGTCCTTGGAACACCGTTGAGGTCCGGAACGGAGACCAGACTGGAGTTCATCCAGCACTGAGTGACATCTCATGACACTACTAGGACCCTCCAAACGCGTTCCCAATGGAAGCCTACTATAGGTAGTGTGCATTCCGACAGGAGGGAATCCATTTGTATTTGTAGTTTTCAGGATCGGACTGGACTCACCTGAAAACCCGTCAGACGACCGCAGACCGGTCGATCCTACCCTCGAGGCTTTGTCCTTGCCGACGCCGACCGGTGTGGTCGCGCCCGCGCTGTTGCTGGGGGCTTTGTTGATGCGATGCTTCACCAGCCTACTTCCTGAGCGGTGGCCTGTTTGCTAAGACAGTGAGGGTGCAAGATGAGAAGATGCTTCCCGGGTGAGCTGTTCTTTGTTCATTTTTGTGTGCGTGCTGTGATTCGATTTTACAACCCTAACACTTCATGTATATGCCATGTACTCCTGGCCCATTCACCCAAATGATTGATCCCATCAAGATATACACACGTTTGAGCCATCAAGACGCAGCCCAACAAGGGGGTGATTGGACCCTAAGATCTGCATCTGGCAGGTTCTTCGCACCGCTCTTGGGTAGCGACTCCCCCAATGACTTAGACGCTTGGAACGCATGGGACGGAGGTCGAAAGACTAGGTCGGTGTATGGCAAGTGACGAGTTTGACTGGCAGACGTGTTTGAGACTGCATACTGGCTTTTCGACTGTCCCTGGGTACCTGGTGTGGTGCGTCAAAGAATACAGGATCAAGGCCAAGGACGTGGTCGTTTTGGTTTTGAAGTCAGGGCTGGCTCCCTGAAATGAACAGAAAGCACTAAGTCTAAGGACCACCAGGGACGTTCAAACGGACCATGTGCTTGGGCGCGATTCCGAGGGTGGCCAAAGACGATGAAAGTCTAAGACGTGGAAGATAGGACTGGAACTCCAAAGGTGGTTTGCTCCGGCTGCAAATTCACATCCTCCCTTCATACAAACGTCTCGGACTTCTTTGCGTTTGAGCCGACCAAACCATGCACTTGGTCCGCGACAGGGCAGTTGGCGCATCTGGATCAAGCAGCTTCCAACATGGTCTGGATGGTTCTGCCATTAGTTTAAGGATGCTGGATGCCTTAAAATGACCCCCAGACACTCCAGGTGACTGGAATAGATTACTACGCGGCTGTGGCTATGCTTTCATGACATTTGAACCACTATCAATAGAGGGTTTGAGTACCGCAAGGGTCACGTGTTGGTCATGTTTGTCTCATGCAGTGGACAACGAACACTGGACCTTGCTGGGTCGTCCACTGACCAAATGTGAACGTGCCAGGTGCAATAGGGATGATATTGAAGATGGACAGATGGGGTGGAACTTCCCTGAGCCCCTGAGAAAAAACATTCCTACCCCTACCCTTCTTGTGAAGCAGTACATATATCATCCAACATCATCCCGGCCGCACCATTTGCATTCCTCGACAGTTCCTATGAAGCAAATCCTAAGATGTTTAAGCAAAAGATTTAACCTGTTTAAGTCTATGTTTTGTATATATGCTTGTCAAGATGAAGAGGCAACCTATCTTTGGATCCCAGAGTCTCATCACTTTCTCATGGGTCTCATACTCCCCAGCTGGGACGTTGAGGATGCCTTCGAGGCGCGCTTGGCCATTCTTGGGGCTTCGGCCTTCAGTGCCTTGGAGAGGTCAGAGAGGTGATGTTCTTTTGACAAACGGCCTACACTCCCAGGGCTTAGGGCTTTAGGGTTTAGCAACTACAACATAGAATTTGAACATGGCCCCTTGGAAGACCATGTTCCTCTACAAGGCCAAGGAGGATGGGAGAAAAGGATCAAGGACGAATCTCAAAGGGTACTGTTTTGGACACCTCTGGGAATCGCACCGCGTATGGAGGATGGTTTTGTGAGAAAACAAAAGACCAGTATGCATCGTATGCATCATCCAACCCAGTACTTGAAGAGAGTTTAAGTGGTTTGTGGATTCGACTTGTCATGATGTTCAATGGGTCAATCGATGCTTCGGACAAGACACGATTGGGACG